CTATTCTTTAACATGTGAGTATAAAAGACCTAGAAACGAAGGTTTTACAAGAAACGCCTTCGTACGGCCTACATTTCACATACCCTGTTAATGAGTTCGTCAAATTTATTAAGCTCGCACCGTTCTTTTTATTTAAAAAGAAAACTGAGCACTTTAGTTTTCAGCCTTTTATAGACCCTTTTCATAAATGGCTGCCAATTTAAAATTCTTTTGTTTGCATTTAAATTAGCCTCACTAAACTCGTTTTGGAGTAAAAATTCTTTTGAATTATCAACTCAAAAACGAGGTTAGTCAGGGTAATTTTAATACTTACAAAAGAATTTATAATTGGCAGCCATTTTTAAAAGGGTCTATAACACATGCTAGAAAGTCAGTTAAGAAAAGGCGCTAAAAATAGTAGCCTCGCTGTCTTTTCAATTGCGAGTCAAAGAGGAAGCTATGTTTTGGAGAATATCTATTGTGGATAGCCGGTCGAATATTTCTCATCCTCCAACAATACGCAACAGGATTCAACGACAAATACAGAAAAACCAGGGCCCACGTGTAAAATAACCAATTCCTCAAAGCGATTCTTTGACCGTAGATGCTTATCATCAACCAGCGGCAAAAAGGCGGCAAATAGCAAATCAAGAACACAAGAAAAACATAAAATGTACTCAGTGGAGTTGTTCTGACGCCAGGAGACTACCAAGGTAAGAGAGTGAATCCCCATATAGGCCTTCTACCCAAGATAACCCTCTTAAGGTCATTCCACTGAAAAAGAACCTGCACTGCGATTTTTGTGAAACTTTGCCTATTGATTGTTTATATAATAGGAACTTAAATTTTGAAATGAAAATGAGATGTCCCCATGTTCGTTTAGGAGCAACAGCACCTTGTTTATACCCAATAAATCCTTATGTTAGCACCATAATTGTAGTCAAGATTGCTTGCTAAATTCTCGTTTCCGACGATTGTTTTTTGTTCTACACTGAGAATTGGTCCATATTTTTTTTACACAGAGAAATTCATTACTCAATTCAAAACAACAGAAAAAAATGATAGGTCATCATACTCGTTTGCGAGAACATGACGATTTACTTCTGTGGCGAGGTCCAGCCGTAAAGAAAAAGCCGCCATTTTTTAATGCGCGCGCGCTAATCACGCGTAAAATTATGCGCAGTAGGAATGCGCAATGCAATACTGGGGAATGACCTTAAGTTATTTTTAGACATTGTGCCCAGTTCTTCTGCGGACATTACTCGCGCGTTGCGTGGATGTTTTCGTGGAGGATCTTTTTATGTTTCGTCTCGTTTCAAAGCAAAGGAAAACCTCCAACGCCATGGAGATGTCTTCTTTAATATTTTGATTACAAGCAATCTCGGTATGTTTCAATACATCTCGAAACTTTGATAGGAGTTTAAATAAAAGACGGATGTCCTCTGCACAAACAATAACAACTGAATGAACGGCAGCGATGTTTAGACAAACGAGTGCAAAGCAAACAAATGCCCAAACACAAGCCGAACAAACAGGTGGTCGAAAGTGCAGGCAGACGCTCGCTGCCCAAGTAGCAAAAAGTAGTTTAGCAGCAACGGCAACAACGCCAAAGACAACTTCGATTAAAAAACGACTTAATATTCAACCTACAAATCTCGCGAGAATTCAGATTCATTCAGTTTGTCTATACTGTCAGAAATATCCCAAACAGAATATGTAAGACAGCTTCAAAATTCTAAAAAGAAATTTTAAAAATTGGCCGTCGTATAGTT